TCGCCTTCAACTCTTTCTCACATAAAAAATGAATAGCGGTAGGCACACTAAATTTGTGTACTAAATAGTGTCACTAATCAAATTTTTATTTTAAGTCAAGTGAATTTGAAAGAAAATTATTCTTATAAGGAGTGTACAATTACATTTTTGGAATGCAAATAACACTATCCTAAACATTTATATGGTGTAGAATGTGTGCCACATAATTTGGTGCACGATTGAGTAGGAGTGCAACTTGGGTTGGGTTAGCCGGAATTTGTTCATGCCTAACTCGATTTCAAATCCAATCGGGAGGGTTAGAATGAAGAAAAAATCTGCCCAAACCGACCTCAACTCGATCGTTTATTGGATTGGGTTGGGTTGACCCCCATACCAACCCAACCCCAACTTGATTTTAAGTCCGAATTTGCTCATGTACATATTACCCATCCAACTTCATATTATATATACTATATTACTTAGGTAGAAGTTTTGGAATGCATATACTTGAAGTTTGTTTGCGGTTTCCTTGTTAATAATGAAAGATAATGTTACTTTTACATTTTATTTATTTATTGAAGCTTTGTTATATGTCTTGTAATTTTATTTCAACTTTGCATGGTTGAAACATTGGAAATGGTATCCAAGTGGTTTGCTTTAGTTTCTGTGTGAATAATGATGTGTAAATGAAATTTTAACTAAGATTGACGTTGTTTGGTTCAAAATTTGAAAAATCATGCAAAATAAGGGGTTATAAGATTGAACTTGATAAAGTTGGACGAACTCGAATCCAATCTGAGTAAGCCCAAACTCAATTAAACATGAACCCGACTAAACTCACATGGACTTGAACTCAATCCAAACTCAAAGGGTGAAGGTTGGATTAAGTTGACTATCCAATCGCTTGAGGTGCACCCTAGCTTGTAGCGCCACCCATAGAAATTAATTTTGTGAGTTGGGGTAGGGATCATTTCCCCCGAGTCCATAAGATGTTATCCCATTTTTTTCATTGGGCTGGGGTAGAGATCAAAGTTCTCGAGCGACCAGTCCGGCAAACAACTTACAAGATAAAGAGTATCGTTAATTTCTACATGCTCGTTCAAAGATGGAAGTTTAGTAATTCATATGCCACGTAAGTTAGAAAAACATGTCGGACTAAACAACTTTTTCCCATTCGAATGCCTGGTGAACAAGTTCAATGACCTTAAACGGGAGTCCAATTTTCAAACAGAGGTAAGCAGAAGCTACTTAACTTGCTCAGCACGGCAGAGGGGTTAAATGGCCCAAAAGAAACATAAGCGCAGGGAGCAGGGCAAAAGAAACGAGTTTTCAAAAATTAGACAATGTGAATCTATAAATTTCAGTCGAATCCATTGTTTCTTGCACACGAAATTGTCAAAGTTTAATTCAACTATCAGTTTCTGGCCCCAACAAACTTTAATACAGCAAGATAAAAACCAGGCTTATCGAGAAATTCGGTTAATTTGAAAGAATGTTCTGCTGCAGCTTCCTCCAAAGCACTCTTTTCAGGCAAGTCAGAAGTTATAAAATCTGGATATTGTCGTCGTTGCTGCTCCAAAACTTCTCTTCCTTGGGGATGGTGAATAACCAGTCTCGCACCTATACAAGGAACAGCCACAACTCAGAATCAAGAGTGATATTTTGAAAGAATGCACCAGCTAATGTCAGATTTATCACTCTCCAAAAGATTTTCTCCTTGTTAATTTTAACACGAAACTTTCAATTTATGGAGTCATACAGGCAAATATGACACTTTTGGGTGAGCCCAGAATAAAACGTGAGGACGAGTCTATGGCAATTAATGACACTTCATCAAGGCAAAGTAGCAGTAGTATATCAAGCATGAATGAAAAGAAAAATGGATGATATTATTAATCTCAGCAAGAAAATCACCTGGTGTAAAACACCTTCCAAGTGTTTTAAACACTTCGTCAAGTTTCATCGCACAAGGCAGGAACTGGCAGCTAGGCAAGGGAACGAAAAGAGACTGAGATGAGAAAACAGAATTCATCGCACAAAACTACTGATTTTCCTTTCAGGATGTTTCTCGTGTAAAATGACCAATTCAAGAAGCTTAATTATTGATTAACAGAAATGAACCAAAAGGGTTTCTGTTAATATTTCGAAAGTGGCTCGGTTCAACTTGTTATCACCACCCTTACACTTATCTTTAAGATCAGAACCTCTGCATATAAGAACAAGAAAGAAAAAAAAAAAACATTATTCTCAATGGCAATCATTGCAAAGCTCTTAGTCCTGATAGCTCGATTCCTCTCCCCTTAAACCCTAATTTGAACCCTTCGGGGTTCCATTTCCGCCGCTACTTTATCCTGAGAAAAAAACTCACCAGAACCGAGTACTGTTGACTCTGTAAAAGTTAAGATGTTTCCTTTGGCACAAATGAAAGAAACTCTTCTATCCTATATCGCTCAAACGAAAGTAACAAAAAATTAAGTGTAAATTTTACCACCTTTAACTTTAGATTTCATAACAAATGCATACCTTATCTTTTAAACATTCTAATATCATACATTAACTTATGAATTCATGCAATGTTATATGTCCGTTAACCGCTAATGATAACGTGACAAATACATTGACTATACTTTTACTGACGTGGCAAATATTGACCATTGTGCAATATAGAAAAAAAATAAATTTAAAAAAAAAATTTTGACTGCCCAAAAAATTAATAAATTCGTCGCTCTCTCTTATCATCTTCATTGTCGTGTTCTCTCCCACTCTCCCTTTCATGCTGCAACAGCAGCCAAGGTGTAGTCGTCGCAACACCACTCTCATCCGCCCACTAACAGCCCAAAAATTAATATTTCTTGAATCCTCTTTTCATACTTGGTCCGAATCTCTACCTTTTTTCATTAAAATCATATTTACACCTCAAAATTTAGGGTTAAATTTTAGAATAAATCACGAGATTTCAATTTTTACACTGCTAAGCTTTCAAATATTATCAATTTAAACCTTTTGTCATTTTTATGGTAAGAATAGTTTAAATTGATAATATTTTACTATTTGTAACCAAAGTTGATGCCAAGTATGAGCTTTACCCTAACATCCTTTATAAAGTTGACCATCTGGCCAGCCGTTAAATGTTGGCGCGACCATGTTTGGGATCACCTTTGGTGCTGACATGTGAGACGGGAGAATCGAACTAAAAACTTTAAGTGCAGAAGTAATGCGAGTTATCATTTGAGTTACAAGCTTGATATAATATATCCTCCCTTAATAAAATTTTGGTACTAAACTCATGTAACAAATCTTTCCCACATAAAAACTGGGGCATTAACTTTATTTTTTCTTTTTATTTCACCTATTCAAATCATTTATACTCCAACAAAGTGAAGGCTCAAGAAATATTAATCGTGGATAAATTTAGGGTCTATTACTGAAATTAAGTCTATTAACGTAAATTTCTAACCAGTGGTATGAGAGCATCTCTGAAAAATGCGATAAAACAACCAAAATTTTATTATAAAGAGTCAAATCTAAAGAAAGCGAAAATGTGTATCGATGAAACGTAGTTCTAAGTAACATTGCTTCTTAACTTCTTATCATATAAAATATTTATCCCACCTCCATAGGATGATGTCTTTGAAATATTATAACTTTGAGATTTACATTCCAATTTCCACCCAAAGAACAAATTTGTATATGGCCGGGGCATCATACAATCTTGACAACCCCTAGAGCAATTCCACCCCTAAAAGCAGCGGTGGAATTGCTCTTATGCCACGGATCGACATGTCCGTCGTAAATTCAGAATAGCCGTTATGCAAGAGTTGTTCTTTCTGTTTTTGGAACGAATAAAAAAACTTTTGCCCTCGAGATTTGAACTCAAGATATGCTGAAACGGCGGGCAACATTATACAAGAGTTCAGAGTAACCCCTAACCACAGTCAAGAACCGAACAACTTCCATGTCTACAGATAGCCAGTGAAAGCATTAACACCGTCGTAAGGCCATCAAACTGGTAAGAATCGAGCACAAGAGCCCATCAACTCCATAACAAGCCTAATATTCCCACCCGCACCATAGTACTAACGGAAAGAACAACTCTTGCATAACAACAGTTACGGATGGAAACGCGTTAATCTGTAATTACAACAGTTACAATTTCCAAATTTCCATCCCCATTTCCATCCCCTGTCCCATCCAAACTCTCACAATTCTGTGTGCAAGGCAGAGTTCATCCTGCTAATACCATCTATATATGCCTCCGTAAGATATATATACACTCCCTTATAAGATCAAAGTTTAATTAGTATACTTCTAAAGACAAACGCAACTTTTCGCTGAACATACTGATACCATAGTTTATGCAATGTAAAACAAAAGAGCTTATATGACAATACATAGATTCAAACTCACACCAACGTTCCACTTTGATAAACATCAAGACTGCGTGCTATCAGAAATGACCTTAACCAAAACTGTGACTTTTAAACAACCCATACTTTATGCACTATGGTACACAAACAGATACAAAGACAGGAATATGTGTGTGTGTGTGTGTGTGTGTGTCTCCTTTAATTACTCGGTTCTTCAAAAATCAATTCAAAAAGTGAAACGATCCAAAGTAGGAAAACAGAACTAGGATCAGAAAAACAACACTATTGTAATGGTCACAGGTTACAATGCTGCAGACATTTTGATGTCAGCATATACGAAACAAATTGTTGATAAAGTTCAACAAAACAATTTATTTAGCATACAAGGCATACTAGAATGCCGACAACGACAACTTAAATGCAGCTCTCAAGAGAAAGGATCCAATTCCAGACTAGAACAGAACTCACAGAAGCTGAGCATAAGAGAAAATTCACAGCACAAAGATATAAACGGAGACTCAATCAAATTGCATTACCGCAACTTTGACATGATCGAACCCTTGCCATTACTTAGTTCGATTACTCATAACCATTGCCGCACAATTCAGAAAACATAATTCAGTTCAACGTAGCAGCAATTTAGGCATCTTTGAGTGCATAAATTTGTTCACAGCTTAATTACTTAACAAAAAGTTCACATTTTGGTAAATAATACATTAAATTGATAACAAAAAAGGAGTAAAATTCGTCCCTTTTTAGAGATCCAATGATGAGAAAATTATAAAAGCAAATACTAATTGTCATTAGAGAACTAGAACACTAATTAAACAACAACAATATCCAATCGCAATCTAATATCTTAAAAAAAATACTAAATATTGGAACAAACCCAGTAGGCATTGAATGGAGTCCTGAGTGATGAACCCATCAATTGGTTTTCGGGTCGGGCATGGGGAACAACCCGGAACTGGCACCTCTCGGCGGTGAAAAGCCCAAGAATTTCTGCAAATTGGTCCGAATACTGATCGAGCACAGAAAGTACAAAAACGCCATCGAACAGTCCGTCGGATCCTCCCCTTGCAGCCCTCGGTGGCTCATTTTCATCACCAGCCCAAAGGGCTTGAAGGGTAATTTCGCCACCGGCTTACCCTCAAACAGCGAGTTGAGCAGCCCGAAGACGACGAAGAGGACGAGGGCGACAACGGCGCCGGACTTGAACTTGAAGAGCGACAAATCCCGGCTGGATTCCTTGAGGCTGGTCTCGACGCGGTCGATCTTCTTGGTCTTGGATTTTTTGGTAATTTTGGCGGCGGAGGAGGAGTCGGTCTTCATGGTCTCGAGCTTCTTGGCGGCTTTGTCGATGGAGGAGCGGAGGGACTTGTAGGAGTTGGTGCGGTAGATGAGGACCCACGAGATCGCCTCGCAGATGATGGCCGTGCAGACGGATATGCCCACCACCGTCAGGCTGTCGGAGTACTTGAGGCCGGAGAGGAAGGAGGTGGTGGCCATCGGAAAATCGCCGAGAAAACGCGAGAAAATTGGAATGTCGGAGTGTGTGATCTGATTCGGTGGTGTGTTTACTTCGGTCTTCAGATTGTGAGATGTGGGTGGAGTTTTTCGATAGGCCTATATTGGTCTTGGGCCTTGCGACTTGGGCTTCCTTTTTTTTTTTTTTGAATTTTTTCAATATTAACCCAATTGTTAAAAAATTCATATTTACTACCACTACTGGTAGATTCTTATATATGTAAAAGGAATGTAAATACTTTTAAAATGATTGACAATAGTCGAAAATGCTTTTGAAATCAATTTTTAGTAAAAATATAAATAAATCTGAGAAAAACTTTTAAAATGCTTATTTCAAAAAATACATAACTAGTGCTTCTTCAAAATACGGTTCAAATACTTTTGGACCTCAAAAAACAGTTTTCTCAAAAGTGATTTTAGTTGTTTAAAAACACTTCCCAGCGACCCTAATTTTATAAGATCTTTCCCGAACGAAATCTCAGCGGCCTTCAATTGTTTTTGCTTGTAAGTCAACATCAAAAAGTTATTAACCTAGTCTCGAACGAAAAAGGTTGGGGGAGTTGTGTAGTATATAGAGTTTGATAAATTTTCATAGGTGTATGAATACATGGATTTTAAAGCAGTTTAGTTGATACTTTCATAAATCCATGAGGATTTTGATTGAATTTTATATTGATTTTAATGGAGTTTTGAGATTTTTAACATGGATTCATGGATTTTTTTTTATGACCAATTTAATTAATAAAATATTGATGTTTTCAAAATTTTACTACTGGTGATTATGATCATGGCAAAGTGGTTGTTTGAGATAGTAGCGGCAATGTGGAAATGCCAAGTGGTGATTGTTGGCAAGACGGTAGTAATGTGGTGCCTTTGGTGGTGGGGATAATAGTAAAGATGGTGAGTGTTGGGGTGGTGGACGAATGGGGTTTTTTGGGGTGGGTAGGGGGGGTTGGTCTTGATGGGGTGGTGATGATGGTGGTAAAGGCAATAGTCATGGTAATGGTGGTTATGGCGGTAGAGCAAGTGGTCATAAGAGGTTGTGGTTGTGCCGGTGGTTGCGAGGATGGACAAGGTATATACAATGATGGTAATAGAGGTGGCAGTCATAGTGATGGTAATGACAATAGCCACAAAACAAGATATTATAAGAGGTCGTGGTATGAGGATGATGGTTATGACAAAATGGGTTCGTGCTGATTGACATTGCAACGTAGTAGTGGTCGAGGTGGTGTGGTCTGTGGTGGAGGTGCTGATGTTCAAAGCAATGTAGTATAGTCAAGGTGGTGGTGATTAGACCTGGCATTCGTGTCATGGTTCTTGTGTTCGTGTCATTTTCGTATCATACCCGATATCTTAATGGGTCGTGTCGTGTGACACTGGTTAAAATAAACAGGTAAAATGACCCGACCCGATAATATTAATAGGTAATATAACTCGACCTGTTATTCGTTAAGGAACATATATTTTGAACCAATAAATAATCAAATGAAAACATAATACTAAATGAGTATATGCATATCATATTATCGCATTCAAAACACAAAAACGCATTTGTCTTTCAAGTATTACATATTTACATACCCAAAATAAGAGCATAATAAAAAATATAAAAACATTAGAACATTACAAAATATCAAATGTTCAAAAGATTTGCAAAATTAAGGGAGTTATGTTTCAAGGTTTGGAACCTTGCATATTTTCTTACAATCAAACTCTTCAATTCTCATCAATCACCATAGGAAACAGTATGGGAACTTTGGCTTGATATATTGTTTTCAAGAGTTATATTGATGATATTTTCAGTTAGGCTTTCTACATTAGCACTCTCTTCTCATTGATTATATGGCTATTGTTTAAGTAAAGTCTTTAATAGTTTTTTAATTACTGTAGAAGTGTGAAAAATATAGAAAAATATATATAAATGCTCGTAATGACAAGCTTTACAACTTTCGTGAAGGGCATAACTTTGAAATGTGCCCCTATAATCATATAAATCATTGATTAAAATTTAACCATCGATTGTTGTTTACATTTATGCTTCATTTTTCTCACCAAATTTTATTTTTTCAGATTTTGTTTTTTGAAAACATGATCTATTAGAGGATTCAAGAAATGTATATATATATACATATTATTATTTTTTTTTTACATTTCGTACACTTCTACAGTAATTATTATTAATTTTATTACTTTTACACTCAAATAAAAAAACACAATTCATGATGGTTTGGAGGGTTTTAAAAATCTAAACGATAATGTAAGTGTAACTATTGTCTACTCATGGAGGAATGATAAATCATGAGTTTTTATATATTCTTTCACATTTTTCATACTTGTAGGAATGTCTTATTGCCTATACTAATACTATACTAGTTGATTTTAATTTTGTACAACAACATGTTAAGTAAAATTTATCCTGTTAATGATAATAAGAAACTCACATAATAAAAATAAATAAATGAATAAAACTTAATTTTTTTAACTTATATAGAATAATAATACAAAAATATATATTTAATATAGAATATACCAATGTATACAATATGGCTATTGTATTTTATAATAATTTTTTTTGTAATTAAACTTTAAAATTATAATTTATTTTCCTTAACAGGACGAAACGGGTTACCTATGTGTTACCCGCGTGTATACCCATTAAGAACCTGTTATTAACGGGTTCTTAACGGGTCACCCGATAATGACCTGATTAGTTATCGTGTTAACCTGAAACCAGTTATTTTCATGTCATTTTCGTGTCGTGTCACCGTGTCGTTTAAGAAACTACCAGGTCTAGTGATGATGATGATCATCGATTGGATCTTTAATAATAGTAGTAGGAAAATATGAGATCTTTGCACAATTGAATTAATATAATAAAGTCCCAAGCCCAAGCCCAAAAAAATAGTTGGGCCCGTAGTAAAATTCCATTTGCCTCTCAAAACGAAATCGATTAATGGGTTCGTGTATAAATCATACTAGCTTTACCCAATTTTAGAAGAACATGAGCCCTCTTAAAACTCAAATTCATTCCAATTGGCTACCAATTCTCTAAGAAGGTTGATTATGTTGTAGGCTTAATTTATTGAACGATTATGGAGACCATAGAGAGAGGGGTGCGGCAATAGTAGAGAGAAAGAGAGATGTGTAATTGTGATGTGTGTTCTATTCCACCCCATCGTGCCTTTATTTATCGTAGTACGGAATGTTAATTCCTTACCCTTTTAGGATTACAACTCTAATAGGATATTAACTACAAAACGGAATAGTCAAAGATATCGTTAGATACACTAGGATTTACACAATCACATTTCTAACCTAATAGGACTGTAACACTCCCCCTTGAGTGTGTAAATACTTAAACAAATGTAGCATCAGGTCTTCATCGATGAAGTAAGAACAGTTGATGAAATCGTCGACACAATAAACGAATGTGAGTCTCAAATTAACGGAAGAATGCATAAAATGGTAAAACTCACAAAACCTTGCTATAGTAAAACTCAAGGTGGGAGAAAAGCTCATAGACTAAGGAGAAAAGTGAGAAGTTGCATTAAGTCAAAACTATACGTCTTCTGGACGCAAGTAAAAGAGCTCACAAGGGTATGATTAGCCCAAGATGGGTGCCTCGTTAAAACCTAGTTTAGTATCAAAAACCCAGTAGGAAAAATGCTCCTAATCATAGGGAAAAAGAGTACATTAAGATCAAGTGAGTATACTTCTAGATACTCCCCTTAAGTTTGATAGAACTTCCAAATAAGAACTACAAGCATTGCATATGATAGTTAGGCATACCAATTCCTTGGACAAGTTTCTGGAAGGTTGACTTCGGCAGTGACGTCATGTAGAGCTTGGAAAGGTTGTCTGGGATCAGCTTACATGACTTTAATCTCCTATTGCTTTGCTGATGTAGACGCAATATGTCTTGGCGTTGACTTCGTTGATGTATCATGTCTTGGTCGGGCGAATACATGTGGCATAGTCTTCATGGATCGTCATTGGGACTTAATGATGGATAAAAAACAGCAAGTACTTTGAATATGCTCAACAAGAACTCCTAACCATATCTCACTTGTGGCGTAGTGAAGTAAGGTGAGTCTTGGAATGATTCGAAGATTTCGCAACTAAGGTCATATAGTGGACTTCCAAGATATTGCAATATCCCTTGACAGTAAAGACATAACCATTTGGAGATTTTGCCTTGTGCGATTTTGATAAGTAACCAGCGTCAGCATAACAACAAGGCAAGCATCATTCCGAGGATCATGAGGGTTGGATCCGCTCGAGATGCGTAGGGATTTGCCCAAATTCGTAGTACCTTCAGGGTACGTCTTTAATACTAATTCAGTGGTTATGTGTCGGCGCGGTGCTGCATCTTTACCAGTGAAAGAGATGTCCTGTCTAATAAAATGAGCTAAGTACAACGAAGCGCAAAGTTGAACTTAGATATGGAATTTTGGATTCCATAACCTCTTCAAGGGTCTCATTTGCATATAATGTCTGGACGATCATATGTATACTCCAAGGTAACACATTCGGAGTGTAGTTCGACTAGTAGACCAAGGTACCGTCAGAACAACGCTTGAACTTCAGGTCAAGGCATAAACGAGTTTTCCTAAGATCATTCATCTCAAATTCCGTCTTCAAGTGCGAGACAGTTTTCTCAAGCTCTTTTAGAATCTTAGTGAGATTCGTGGTAATGACATAAATTGTAACTCTAGCAATATGGAATAAAACTTCATAGTTTAACACGTAAGGGCATTCATTCAATCCTTGACTAATCAAATAATCACTTAGATGAGTATACCACATCTGCCAGATTGTTTCAATCCTTAAGTGAACGCCTCAAATGAGTTGAGAGGGTGTTTCGTGGTTTAGAACTATTTGAGTCAATCCATGTAATTCTTTGGCAACTTACACGTAAATCTCCATATCTATATCCCTATGGAGGAAACATTAACCACATTTCATAATGCTGTTATCAATCACATGGCATTTAA